GAATCACTGAGTATATCATACCTGAGTGTAGTGAGAGCACACTGATCCACTGCATCTGTTTGGGTAGGAGAAGTGATGCCTCTCATCGTTCCAGGACCTGACCAGATCTGTGATGGACTGGTACCTTTTAAATTATGAATCAACATATCATACATATAGTGTTTGTTTTATTTTATTAATAAAAAACAATTTATGATTACAATGAGCATTCAGTGTTTCCGCAGTTTGTTAGCTATGTACTACCTTCCTGAAGTGACTGACAGGTTTTGACCCACGTATTTCATGGCCTGTGTCGGACCGTGATCCCAAACGCATCGTGAAGCCCACGAATCAGCTGACTTAGCAAGTCCCTCATCCCACAGCTGCATAAATAGCAGAAAAGGAGAACAACAGAGGAGCTGTCACTAACAACCGATCCCTAACATGACGTGACATTTTTTCCTATTCTGTATAAAACGCCAAAGCCAACACACAAAGTCATACACCCAAACTATGCAGGCAATGCTCCCAAGTCAGGATCACATTATTATTGTTTTTCTCCATGGTTACTTTTATTGAAGGGCCAACAATAAAACAGTAATTTATCACTGTAACTGACTGCAGTGACTAGTGGGTGTAATGACTAATTCTGCTATTTTATATTGTTAGGTAGCACATGCAGTAAAAAGTAGCATAGCCCTCTGAAATACAATGAAGAACTTCAAAATAACATAAACAAAACTACAAAAATACCACAGAATTGTATTTAATGCAAAGTTATCAAGAAGATATTGTTTTGTCTTGAGTACTGTAGAGTATTTATTTGTTTTCTTGTCATATTTTATGTATTCTAGACTCTGACTGATTAATCAGTTGGTTGATATTATAGCCGATATTGGCTTATCACCAGTTTATTGGATTCAGCTTACATGGATGGATTTGGATGTAATTTCATAGTTTGTCCAGCAGAGGTCTCTGATTCCCCATTTTCAATGCGTTCAGCACTGTCTGCAGCACATGTAGCAGAGCTGGGGTCTTCACTATAAGCTGTCTGCTAGTTTGTATAATGAACTGCTGGAGGTAACAATCACCTCACTATTTAACCTTTTTAGTGTATTTCATACAAACAAACTGTCTATATGTGTCCATATATACAAGTGCCTCACCATGTACTCCATATTAGCAGCAGGAGGAAAGACCTGAGAGCGGACTCGGTTATGGTAATCCAGCAGGGCATTCATCTCTCTGGGTGAAATTGCTGGTTTACGTCTGCTGCGATAAG